CAGCACTAGGGAGGCAGAGGCAGGCAGATCTCTGTGAGTTCAAGGCCAGCCTGGTCTACATAGTGAGTTCCAGGACAACTGGGCTACAGGGAGACCCTGTCTCAAGAAGAAGACCAAAAAAATAAAAAGAATAAAATAAAACATCAAGAAAAAGAACTGCATTACTTTCAAAGCAGTAAAAAGTTGATATTTCATAAAGCCTCTTCTGCACCTATCTTTATTGTGTTATATTTACATATGTCTCTTCAATGGATTTCAAGTTCCCAAAAGCACTGAGCTTATCTTCCTCATGTTCATCCAATCTGTCAGTAGACCTTAGATGGCTTTGCCCTAAGAAGAATCCAACAAACATTTAGTGGGTAGCTTCCTAAGGACACAATGGGTGAAACAAAGGAGGCCAAGGAAAGAAAGGTAGAAGACAAAAACCTTGTTTTGAGCCAAGAGCCAAGCAAGAGAGGGAGACAGAGCCATCTGGCTTCCCTGCCTCCTGATGCATTAAGAGCATGAAATGACATCATTCCCAAACCCAGAAGTAACTGAATTCTGAAAATGGCAGGACTTTAAATCTCTTAGGGTAGGGTGGGATTGGGTAATGAATTACTGGGAGAGGAACAAGAGAATTCTTTTAATCAAGGTCTTCTCTTGGAGATAGATACCTGCCTCATGGACTTGTTCCTGGCAGCAGGCAGTCTCTCCGAGAAGACATTTGTTCATCTTCTTGAGTCCCTCTTCAGAGCCCTTGGGCTGCTGCACCTTTCCCCTGAGGGAGAGCATGGGGTTCCTGAGGCCTTTGCACACAACTGCTCCAGAGACTGAGAGCAGGACAGCACTCTCCTTACCCTCAGACTCGCTCTCCCCATCTCTAGCATGCGCTTCTATCTCCTCTTTGGAATGCTCATGGTCTCAGCAGCCCCAACCGTCAGAAGAGGAACACATCTTGAATATGTTCAGTTCACTACTGAAGTCAGAAGAGAGACAGGAAATACCAATGTCATAAGGCAAAATACCTGGTGTAGGTTTCACAAATCTGGGTCAGAGTTTCCCAAGGCATGTGGGCTCAGAGAATGTGTGCTTGGGAGAGGTCCCCATGATGGTGTCTAGGTGACTAGGAGAAAAGCAAAAGGAAAACAAAAGAAGGGAAGGAAGGTAAATCCAAAGAACAAAGAGAGCCTAGAGGGAGGTCTAGTGATGAAGAGCCAGGCAAAGAACAGATGCAGTAAGCTGGGCTGGGTCAGTAGAGGACTCCTGACAATCACCTCTCCTGGAATCTAGTGTGCTGGCTTTTCAGCACAGTGAAGGCCAGAGGCTGGCTTCTGGAAAAAAAGCTGAGATCCCCTTGCTCAGTCCTTCCTTCAGGGCAGGCAGTATGTGATCATCTGTTTATTTCTCCACTTTCCTCTCTAGACTGTGAGCTCTGTGAGGCTGTCTTGTATTTCAGTTGTCTTGGTGGCTTCCAAGCCCAGCACTGTGTGTGGCACAAGCTCACTGATCTGCAAACACTTGTCAAAAGAAATAATTCAAGGAAGGAAGGTGACAAAGCCTGAACCATCTTATAGGGTCAGAAGGTCACCTGGGAGATAGGGCTTCCTGTTTCATTTGTTCATGCAAGGGACACAATAATTCACCAAAGTTTTGTTCCCTGTGATATCTGACTAAGCCCTTCATCAAAAGAAGGTAACTGGGCAGGTGAGATAGCTCAGCAGGTAAAGTGCTTGCTACCAAGCCTGATGACCTGTTTGATCCCCAGGACCCATATGGTTGAAGGAGAGAACCAACTCTTAAAAGTTGTACTCTGACCTCCACACATGTGCTATGGCACGTACACACACACAGAAAAAAATGTAATTAAAAAAAATTTTAAAGACATTGTGAAACCCATTATTTTCTACAATCAACAAATGCTATTCAAAATTGCTATGTTAAGTGACTGGAGAGATGGCTCCGCAGTTAAGAGAACTGGCTGCTCTTGCACAGGACCAGGGTGTCGTTCCCAGTACCCACATGGTAGATACCAACTGTCCCCTAATGTCAGTTCTGGGGGGATCAGACACCCTCTTCTGACCTCCATGGGCACTGCACACACATGGTACCCTTACATAAGTGCAGGCAAAACAAATAAATTTTTTAAATGCTATGTTAAAGCTGGATATAGTGGCACATGCATTTAATCCCAGCACTCGGGAGGCAGAGGCAAGCAGATGTCTATGAGTTCAATTGAGGCCACCGTAGTCTACAAAGTGAGTTCCAGGCTAGCTGGGGCTACAGGAAGACCATGTCTCAGAAAAAGACCGAATAAATAAAT